GGCAGAATTACAATAGTGGACTGGAGAATGAAGATCCTCAGATCAAGGTGAGCGTTGCTTCCTCGGGAACACCGTATCGAGTCTTGTGTTGTTCAAAAAGCTCCGTAAGGGATTCGCAGTACTGACGATGGACGCGGTCCACTTCGTCATCACTCGGGTCGGGCACCATCGGAACGGCTATCGGTGCTCCAACAACAGTGTTAATCGGTCTCCGATGTGGTAGAAAGCCGAAAGTTTAGCTGAAAATACATTTTCTTTTCAGCATATGTATATAAAAATTAGCAGTGGATTTTACCTGAAGCAGCCCTCTTCCGTAGAAAAGAGGCATCGAAATTCCGAGCAGATTTTTCGACAATGTTTGGAATTTGCGCACCAAAGATCCCTCAGGATTATCGAGCTGAACGTGTAAAATTTGATTTTATGAATTAAGTACAGCATACCAACAATCAATTGAGACCCATGCAGAATTGGCCAGTGTTTAATAATTCACCTGATAGAAAAGATCGTTTTCCCCGAACGAATACACGGGAACTAGAGAGGCGCCATATTGGAGTGCCAATTTTACAAATCCTTTCCGTGTGAGCAATTTCAACTTGTGCGCCCCCGGACGGGCTTCGAGAGCTTCTTCAGCTCCGCCTGAATTGATTAATTTCGAAATTCGTTCGTTATTATTTGGCTTAGCAGCGGTGCTAACTGGCATTTCCTCAAGGAGGTCTATGTGAAGGGTGAAGCATCCTGTGAATCCTTGGACTTTAGCGCCTCTGCCTTGCCAAGTGGATATAATGTTTTGTGCTTGCGTTCCACTCCATATTTCCTGCACAAGCAGGTAAGAACTTTTCTTATCCAGAAATTTCGGCCATGTCCTTCAAGTCAACGGATGCGACGGCTGAGAGCTGGAGGCAGTTCCACAACACCACATCAAAAGCTTTCCGTCTCTCGAAATAGGAGAAGCGTTGTTACCAGTCCATGGCTGACTAACGATAAGCTTGGCAATGGAGATTGAATTTATGCTTCTTGCGTGGATTACCGATGATGGTATTTGTTTTAGAAAATGAAGTTTTTGTGAGGCAGAGGGGGTGTGAGTAACTTACCCGAAATCCAACACGTTCCTACATCATCCTTCCCTATCGGCCGATTTCTTGAAGAGAAAGTGTATCAATAGGGAATGGTGGTTACTGCACCAATTAGGGGACTCACTAAAGAGAGGACGAGAGGGGTGGAGAAGTCCGCGCTGATATTATAGTATATTATTTTTTTTCATTTGTCTGCTTACTTGCTCGTAATACAGCGCTAATTGTACGTATGTGCTCAAAAGCAGATTTTACGATTCTTTTTTATAGGAATAGTATTGATGGTGGTCTACAAAATTCTTGTGCTGTGAGCTAAAACTTTGCGGCAAACTCAGCATTCTTCAAAGAATTATATTCGTAAACTTTCAGCTAATATTTGCTGCTCCGCTCGTGTATATTGACACGCAAATTGAACTGTTTGTGCTGGCTGATGGCTCGCTTCATGGTGATTTGATTTCGTCTACTGACGGAATTGATTATACCGATTCACTCTCCAGCCTGACTCACGTCAAGTAAATTGAGAAATTCAAGGAGTGAAAGGGTCTGCGAACTGGTTCCCGCTGTAAAAACGGTTCCACTCGAATCAGACCTTTACTCGCCCTTAATGCAGGAGTGGCGCTAGGTTTTACTCAGACCACAAAACGAATGTTCGATATTAATTTTCGGAAAACGCTCCTTCACTTGGCCTAAAATCTCATTTAGAAGGGTCGTTCGAATATCTTCCACTTGTGCTGATGCGAAGCGATTCTGCAAATGTCTCAGTGTGCGAAGAATGTGCTACAATTGGGTACATGACGTATTCGAAGACTGCCCTCCTCCCGAATCCTAGTGAATAGCCCTGTAGAGCGCAACAAGGGAGTTCTGTGGTGCAAGTTTGTTGTCATCGTCTATCGTGAAGTGGTCTCATGGGCCGCATATGAACTTCACGAGGCTGTTAAAAGTTTACGATTAGAACGCAACCTAATGGAATCAAGGCAGAGGTGATCAATGGTGCAGGGACCGGGCAAAACCATGAAAAGCGCCACAAAAACGGAAAATTTGGGATCTTTTCCTTGCCCATTGATTTCCGTATTGCTGCGACTCTCGTGGTGCTGACTGATCTCATCAACACTAACGCTCTCTGTGATAGATGGTTAGAGCCAAATGGCGAGTGTAGAGCTACACCAGATCGCCACGGGCATATCCACTGCTCCGAATGTCGTAATGGTCCGCGCATACGTTAACTCGGTCCTGTCTTTCCCTGGGCAGGGTGTTACCCTTGTTTGATCACGACCTTATTGTGGTATCCTCCTTCAAGGGAACGGGTAGCGACCGGAGAACAGTGCTCTTCTTTAGGAAAGCAGCAGGCTTCTCAATAAACATTGTCTTTACTAAAAGTGCCTGAGAAGGCGCCAAGGCTTTGCCTGCCTCTGCCACTTTTCTCGTTACCGTAGCCACGTGAGCGGTCAGGATCATACTTACTTAACTTCGCACTTCTATTCTTTCACTGAAACGGTTTCAAAATATATTTTTAGGATGAGAGAAGTGCTCGGCATTGACTTCTCCCCACTTGCTGAACCATTCGACCAGAAACTGCCCACACTGGGTGTCGTCGTGCACCTTATGAGGCAGTGCCGCTGACATATTTCTTCGCAGTGTTACAATCATCCTGGACAATTTTTTATGATGGCTTTGGAGAAAGAATAGCAGTTGCCGCAAAGTACATACTAGGTGATGATGTGTGCTTCCAAGTGCCGAAAGGCTGTGCTTCCCCCGACAGAGAGGGACCCTCTCTGTAAAGGTGATGTCTTCTCCGAAAACCTCGGGACGGCTATGCGATCGGTTCTCGCAGGATGCTCGCGGATAGCATGTCAATGCATTGCGGATATCTCCCCGACTGCATGTCAAATCGTGGAATATCCCGTAGAAACCGGTTGGCGCTGGCCCTTCTCCCGGAGAGTTTGTGGGGCGCATTACCTTAGCCGGAGTGGTCCCTCTCCTGTTAATGCCCTTGACCTCAAGCCGTGATCGCCGCGTGATAACGTTCGTCTCCCAACTTAGTCATTTCAGAAAGATCAAAAGTTTGCTTGGCGCAGTAGCGAGTGACTGAGGGATCTTTGCATGGTCGCTGGGTCCGTCGTGTATCAGCAACGATGGAGGTTAGGGAAGGCATTTAAGGCGTTTTGTGAAGTGCTTCCAAATATTTCCCGATTTGGTGAACAGTTGAAGGTTAAGCTCCTAATTTTAGCGCTTCGGATGATTCACCTTGCTTTTTTGCTCATCTTCGGCTCACTCTGCAACACGGTCTTATACACCAGTTTTATCCTGGAGCTTGCCTTTAAGCCAGTCCACACCATTTAGGGGTGGGGAATTCTGGGGGGATTCTTCAATCAAGACCTTTTTTAGTTTTTTGAAATCATAACTTGATCAGAACAGCATAATTAAGTGTCGAATTAACAGATATTCTCATGGCAATGGCATATTCTGCTCCTGTACGCGCTATGGTTCCTGTATGACCGGAAATCGCCACGAACGGGCGCGCTACCGTAGGAACTTCGTTCAACGGTTTGTACTATATTCATCCACTTTACCTTCTATATTGAAGTGTTTGTTTATATCAGATGGACAATTTATAAGTGGTTCGCTCAGTATTTCCCAATAACCCTACACAAAACCGCCCCTCTTCCAGCAAACCGAGTAAGCTCACTTCCCATTTCACTCATTTGGCACATAGTTTCCTCTACGATTATTTCAGAATTACATTTTTGGATGTCATCCTCATGGGATCATCGGTATGGCAGTTACATCAAATTTCGCGTCGGAAGGGACCGGTAGAAGCAAACTGGTCGGTGGAGTCAGTCAAAGGTCGTAAAAACCAGCAAAGGCTTTCGAATTCCCATGAAACTGCAGATTGGCCCTAGGCGAATCGATTAAGGCAAAAGTCGGGCTCAATAAGGGGGTATTATGGCGATTGAAACTGAGTATAGAGATGCGAAGTGGAACGACAGTGGAGAAAAACTGAGAAAAACCGTCGACAAGGCCGTTAACAAAACCCTCTTTCCCACTAGCAATGAAGGAGGCTGGCTTGGGGAAGAGGCACGTACAAACAAGTTTTCTGAAGATATCAGTCGTTCTATCGGTTGATACGGCTATCAACCTAGCTGATTTCACACGTTATGCCACATCCCGAGGTGGGCGGTCGTAGCGGGGCTAGGCGGCGATAGCGCATAGTACGTGCCCTGAGGCCTTATTACCGCGTCGTTTGAGATTTTGAGCATGGGAACATCTCTATGGGTGCGTAACCAATTACAGGAATGACCGAAAGGGTTGGTTAGGTTCACTAAGCCCGACCTTTGCCTTTAAGCGGGAAAGTGTTAAAATTGTAACGCTCGAAAGTGCTACGTAATCTACCAAGGAAGGTGTGAGCGGTCAAGTTGGCTCAGGGTTCGATTCTCCATCATGACAAATGTTTTGCATTTCAGGCAGGCACTTCAAAATTGGTGCCAAATGGCATCAGTGCCAAGAATAAAAGAGAGACGAATAAGGATGATATGCGGTTATGATCTGTAATCGAGGCAATCGGATCTTTACCTTAGGCGACGCGACTTTACGATCGGCGATTCGCTCGCGGTCAGAATAATTCGCTGACGCGCATCGAGCGAATTGGTTGGTAAGGCAACACGACCGCGGACGCTAGCGAATCGCAAAGTCTGACATCGGCTTAAAAGAGACTTTCTACCAAGTATGGACCATCATGCCAACGTAGCACTCACAATCACTTTAACCATTCATAACGTCCTGGGCAGATTCACGTAGCGTTTTCGCCTCCACATTAGAAATCGGCCTCACCCAACAGATTCGGAGTACCAGGGAAGGTTTGAAGCCTCCCTGGTACTATTTACCAGAAGTGACGGTGTTACCCGGGACCGACTTATGTGCGTCGTCCTGAAGAACACGTCACAGTTCCTTTTGGCATGGGCGTTGCACCTGTCTTCACGACTTTATCTTGGAGAAACTTTCAGTTCCCTGGTCTACGATTTTCGGTGTGCACATTGGCATCAAATTTCAACATAATGATTACGTAAGCGAATTGCTATATTTATGTTGTTGTTTATATTTATATTTAACTATGTTATTATTTATTATAAATAATACATAGATTCAGGTGGGTACCAGATGAGATCCTTTTCAGGAGAGAGATTCTGCTGTTGGGCGGACTCATTGACTGCTCTAAGGAAAGTATCGGAAATGCGCTCACGAACAAAAGCTGGCACGGCATACGTGATTGCTGTAGGTGCGAGTGAATTGAGTTGCTGGACCGTGGACTGCGCTGGAACCGTCACGTTTGTGTGATAATTTCCATGATAACAATTAGCACTGTTTATCTTTTTAAAGAAACATTCTTTGATAACGGCAAAGGGAAGGTCAAAGAAGGGTAAACCTACGTTGTGGAGAGACATGCGGACCTACTAAGCGCAGTTTGTGGCGAGGGTATGCGGCTGTCTAGCATGACTCTCCCTGCGGCGCTGTCGGCGCGGAACGCCTCTCCCTCCCTTGATTGTTGTCTGAGCCTATAGTCGTTTAGCAAAGAGAGCATTAGCAATTAAGAAGGCAGCACCGATGAGAGTCGCATCAACGCGGGAAATCAACG